AATCCTTTGTGTGTTCTTCCTGGCGTGGTCGATCCATTGTTTTTAGCATTCATTTACACTACCAGGTCTTTTCTTACAGAGGTTTTCACCCTGCAGTAAAAGACAAATTAGTGCAGTACTCAAAGCCAAATCACAACTGTGCTTTACAGGTATGAACTGAACTTAAACCATCTTTGATGATGACTAGTTTTTTTAGTTGAATCAAATGTGTCGTAGTAGCTAATTTTATCACTGTAGGTACGAAAGATAGTAGACTGACCTTTTGGACTGACTCCGACAAAGGACTAACCTCCGAAACTTCAGTCTACTATCTTTGGGATTGACTCCGATGAAGGACTAACGTCCGAAACATCAGTCTACTACATGTATCTTTCATACCTACAGTGATAAAATTACCTACTACGACACATTTAAACCATCTTTGCTTTTTGATTGATAATTATTATCTATTAGTCCCAGTGGAGGCAGCATGGTTGAGTAGTCATAGCATYAGTCTCACAATCCGGTGGTCTCGCAMTCCGGTGGTGCCGGGTTCAAGTCCCGCTGTGGCCACTAGCTGAGACTGTATTTGTCCTGATTYCTGATTTGTTCAGATTCAGTTTCTCSACCATGCTTGTAAATAGYCWACTGGTTTGCCTCCTTGCCAGTTGGGATTYTTRAMMCACTTTATGTTTCTTTKATYATTAATTCATTTCAGTTTATTAATTTGTGGACTACRCTATAAATTAGCRGTCAATTAAGTGTACTTTCCACATTAAATAAGGTCGTATTTTTAAATGTTATTCTCTAGAGTATTAGATATCATTATATCTTTCTTATATCATTATTTCTTGCCATGATGACCAGCCAAATTAGTCTTAGCTCGGCYRTTCCCTGATTTCTGTATCAACATTAGTCATCAAATTGGCTGGCAAGGCAAGTTCTGCAGTTTCTGTCTGCGAAAACCAGGAGCGGGAGGTCGTGGTTCAAGCCTCGGCTGAAACAACACTTAGGGTCTTAAAATATCTGAGGAGAAGGTGCTACCTTTGTAATTACATCTGCAAATGGTTACACTTTCAAGTGGCTCTGGTGACCACTTTAAATGGCGGTCCCGTCTCTCCACACTCATCATTACTAAGCAATATAGGAGGGACATAAAAGAACCACTGAGGACGTAAAGAAACCCTGGCAGTGACCACCCTCAGTGCCTACACCTCATACTAACCATCTCTCAGTGCTTGTAAATTGCACAAAACGCAATCTGTCATTCACAACTCAATGTAAAGCTCCTTTGATTATATCCACATAGAAAAGTCGCTATATAAATCATAAATCATTACAACTGGCCTGGACTTAATGTTTGCCAATCTCCCTCCCCCACCTTCTAGACATATAAATATTAAGATATAAAATTTACTCTATACTTCAAATACTTCAGAACCCAGAGAGAGAATTTGTGGAAATTACAAGAAAGAGCCAGGAGAAGAGTGTGACCCTGGAAATCTTGGGACTTCAGAYAGCGATTGCTGTACGATGGACTGTAAGCTAAAGCCAGGAGCCCAGTGCAGGTAATGTAACAAACATGGATATAACAAGCTCTCTGATTGGTAAATTAACAGTGTGCATCCCAAAATTGGTTGTGGACACTGACCTAATTGAGAAGAGCAAGCTGTGTAGGATAAATTTGAAATTTTCTCGATTAACGAAGATTTTTTTAGTGCTTTTCCTTTGTCATAAAGCATTGGTCATTGATTATAAGTGTGCTTCCAWTGAGTTTTTGATACATTTGGTCGGTTGCTTAAGCACTCAAGAAGCTAGAGTAGCACTTGGCTATGCCTTGTGCTACTCTTACGCTTCCTTCACCAATCCTCCATTAACTGTGAAAACTGTAGTAAAATTGTCCACACGCAGAAGCATACAATCGATAACCAGGGGTAACCATGACAACCTTGCATGGGTCAGCTTCGGCAGGTGTGGCACTGTAATTGTCGGTGGAATAGTTAATATTGAACTCCTAAAGTTTGTAGGTTGGATCCAAGCAGCGATAAGCTAGGGTGATAACTGAACAAAGCTTGGCATTCAAGTTATAGACACCATGCATGTGACGTCAAAGCAGCTCGATCTGGGGGACAAAACAAAAGAATTTCAATCTCCTGAGAAWCGGAACTTATYGTTTTGTCCCCCAGATTGAGCTGCATTCCAATGTGCTGCAAGGGGTCTATAGCTAAATGATCATTTCATATATGTACCACTGGTTTCATATAGTTATGTGCCATACAAAATTAAAGTTTTGCTTCTGTGTGYCGATTAAATAACTTTTAGATTCAGACAATCCAACTTCAAAACTAAAAAAATACTTAAGCAATTCATGTAATGTTTAATAAACGAGTAGGATTGTTTTATCGGGTATAAAACTTAAAACATGAGGCATAGCCGAGTGGTTTTAGACCCATTAAAGCACGATCTGTAAGTTTATTAGTTGTAAGTTCTCATATTGTTCCGAATTCTTTACGAAATGAACCAAGTTTGATAGAGAAAATCCAAGTTAAAGTTTATGCAAATGAAGACGAATCTATATCAGATATAAAAYCTCCTTCATGGTCATTATTGTGTTTCCTTCATGAATTATTAATGAGTTTTTWAAATATTACTGAGAGGATGTTTAACGTTACATGGTTTTTTTTTTCTATTAGTGATGGATATGATTCTCCTTGCTGCAAGGGCTGCCATTTTGTCCAAAAGAGGACAATTTGTCGCAATGCAAACCCTTCCTTCTGTGAAGCACAAGCTTTCTGCAAGGACAATGAAGCAACATGCCCTGAATCACCACCGCTACCTGACAATACTACCTGTATTGAAAGGTATGATTGATACTGTGTAGGCTGTCTGTTTATCTGTCTGTCCATCTATCCCCTCCATCTTCCCATCCATTTATCCATCCATCCCTCCTTCAGATCTCTCTACTTCGTGTTTTTTCTCTTATAAAAATTCTACCCGTATTGAAATGATACTGTGTAGACTGTCTGTTTATCTGTCTCTCCATYTATCCCCTCCATCTTCCCATCCATTTATCCATCCATCCATCCCTACATCCAATCTCTCTACTTCAAGTGGTTTTTTATCATTTAAAAACAATACCTGTATTAAAAGGTATGATACTGTGTAGACTGTATTTTTATCTGTCTGTCCATCTATACCCTCCATCTTCCCATCCATCCATCCCTCCCTCCRATCTCTCTACTCCAAGTGTTTTTTTTCTCTAACAAAAATTCTACCTGTATTGAAATGATACTGTGTAGACTGTCTGTTTATCTGTCTGTCCTCTATCCCATCCATCTTCCCATCCATTTATCCATCCATCCATCCCTCCCTCTGATCTCTCTACTTCAAGTGTTTTTTTCTCATTTAAAGATACTACTGTAGTGAAAGGTATGATGCTGCACAGACTGTCTATTTATCTGTCTGTTTAAAAAATTCGAATTCTTCACAGTTCAAGTGTCGTCACTGTAAGAAATGTTTCTTTATAATGTATGCTATTTTTCCTTTAGGGGTAAGTGCAAAGCAGGCAAATGTGTAGACTTCTGCGTTGGGGAAAACTTGCTYCCCTGCATGTGCACCAATATTGAAGATGGATGCAAGGTGTGTTGTCAGAAGGATGAGAATTCAACATGCGTTGCCTGGAAGAACCAAACTAGTGGGGGTTTTTTGGAGCTGAATGACGGGAGGCCATGTGTCGCTGGGCGCTGTAGACAGGTAAACTTGCCATCGTAAAACAACTATATTTGTGTTTACATTGTAATTGAAAACATCTTGGTTTAAGACATATTTTTATTGTAGGAAATTGGCTTTGTGGAAACAAAAAAAAGTTTTGGCCCATTTCTGTTTATAATTCCCAGTGACCTAAATCCCAGTCCTAGTGATAAACCCTGGGGATATCCCATGTTGGTGATTCTATTTTACATTCTCAGTGACCTGAATCCCAGTCCTAGTGATGAACCCTGGGGATATCCCATGTTAGTGATTCTATTTTACATTCTCAGTGACCTGAATCCCAGTCCTAGTGATGAACCTTGGGGGAATCCCATGTTGGTGATTCTATTTTACATTCTCAGTGACCTGAATCCCAGTCCTAGTGATAAACCCTGGGGATATCCCATGTTGGTTTATTCTATTTTACATTCTCAGTGACC